TACTGAGAGCTGCCTCTGGGTATCTGTGAGTGATTACAACTTATTCTTGGCATCTGGTTCTTTCTGTACCTCACCTGATATATGCTGTTTTTGCTGATGCTGTTAGTTTCATTATAAACCGTAAGACTTGCATGAGTAAGGATTATAGGGCTCTGATCTTGATAAATTTTGCAAATAATGATTTCTCTTTTCCAGTACTAGTATGTCCAATTTTGTCAAAGGCCAATAAATGGTACTGCTGGAGTGGGCATCCGTTTTACCTGCTTGCTCCTTATGTACTGGAAGGAGAGAAGGTAGCGGAAGTGGTTTAGTGAAGTAATAAGGAACAGTATAAGCAGTGATGCGTTACTGCTCTTGCCAGTGGCGGGGAGAAACGGTATTCTTGGTGCCAAATGTGGAGTAAGCTAAACATTGTAGTAATTGTAGTAAGCTAAAAACTTTTTCCTGCAGTATTTCCTAGAGACCTTAATGCAGGCTCCATTTTTGCTAGAATCTGGTGCAGACAATCTTGCTTACACCTATACAATGTGCTAGTGTGAAATGAGCTGTTTAAGAGGACGTTTTAACTTTTAATACTCCCTGTTTCTAGGAAGAACCTTACATGACACTTCCGCATCTGTGGTCTCATCCCAGCGTGGTCCTTTGCTAGGCTAGCAGTAAGCTTTTATTAATGAGTGCTTGCACATGTACACTGCATATTGCAGAACGGCTCTGGTCCACGTGGAAGGGAAGAACAACCCTTGTCTTGGTGTGAGTCTTACCCTTTTGCAGGTAACTGATCCAGCAACTGTGATTAAACTGGAGGGCCTCTGAAGCGTAGTTACAACGGTCACAGTCTTCCCCTCAGGGAAGAGAACGTGTTAAATGAGTAAATTTGATCACCCTCAAACGCGTCGGGTCCATGGCTCTTAATGACATAGTATCGAGAAATTTCTTGATCCTGACTAGAAAGTGGTCTCATTCCATTTGGTAACAAACCTGAGCAGATTTCTAGTCTGGTCTACCTGTGAAGAAAGCCTAGACTGCTAGGTTGAGAAGTAATATAATGGTTTCTATGCCCTGCTCAACTTTAGCCGTACTCTTAAAAGAAAGCTTACTCTCCTGAACTTTTTTGTTTTCTGTCATTGTTACCCTTTGACCTGTGAAAACTCCTTTAGGGGTGTCTTTGTCCTTCCAGGGTTATCAGTCTTGTTCTGATTGGATTTTTTTTATGAGTACTTAAGATGTCCAATATGACATATTTTAGAGAGGAAGTAGCATAGTATTCGCAGTGTGATAATTGTTTTTTAGTTAAGTAATAGCAAAATGCTCCTCTCAGTTTATTCATTTGACTGTTGTCTTGGCATCAATTTCTCACTTGTGGCTTTTCAATACGGCGTTTAACAGATGACAGTCTATAATTTCAGGAGTGCTGGGAATCAGTTTAACATGCCTCCTATTTGGAGTCAAAGGGTGCTGCACCCCTGACTTAAATAGGAGTAGCGTGAGGTCAGCAGAGCTTCTGAAAATGTCCCTTTAAAGGTAGTTGAGTGATACACCTCTGTGTACGTTATAGCAATTTATTTCATTTTATGGATCCTCTTAATCAGGATGACGCTAAGTGTGGGGGAGAGACTATAAAAAGGGAACTGCCAAGTTATCCAGCCACTCGTACGTATTAGTAGCTTTTAAAACTAATGGCATCTACTCAACAAAAAGACCTGGGCTTTATTGAATCAACTTAGTTTAGCACTCGGAAGTTGTCACAGAAAATAAAAGCCCTAACTGTATCTTTTTAAAAAAAAAAAAAAAAAAAAAAGGCAGCCCCACAGTATGCTCTAATCATCTGTCTGTACGCCTCCTATTTTGAATGGGGAGGTTTTAGCACATGGATCCGTGGTCTTTCTGTGGTGGTTGTACCATCTCTTAGTCGCATGGTAGAGGGCTGGCATCAGCCCTGATGCTTCCCAGCGCTACCGTAATGCAGCGAAAGCCGGTTACGCTGTCCGAGAACCTCCTTTAGACTGTTGTATCTAATTGGAGTCACTACATCTGAAGGCAGTAGTGCAGAATTAGTGCTCTAGAGTGATTTGACACTGTTTTGCGTGGAGAAAGAGATGAGCGGAGAATAGGCAAATAAGTGCCTTAATTAGAGGTATGCATAATGAATTAGAGGGCTCAAGTTGTGCTTCTGGGTTTTTTTTCTTCACAATATGACAACAGGAGACAATTTCCCTCTTGTTTTGCTGTTATCTTTTTTTTGATGTCTGAATTGTTTAACTCTTGAAAATACAGAATCTCTTACTGTATTTTGCAGGAGAAATGGACAAATCGGAAGAAATCCTTCTGAACAATGTCTGCACTTAATGGGCAGCTTGCATGCTAGTCTCTGTCACTTAAAATAACTTCTTCCTATTTTCTAGTAGGAAACCTTCCCCTGTGGACAGTTTATTCCGTCCTTGTTCACCTCAGGGTTGTAAGCACCTTCCTCAAACATCTGTTGTTAATTATAGCCATTATTTGAACGTACAGCTAAACGATGGTTCTGATGACATGTGACGTGCCACTTGCCTCACCTCTCTATTCCTAATGCTCTTCTCCTGCTCTTACCCTGTCTGTACTGTCTCTTTCAGCGCTGATACTGTTACCACTGAGTCATTGTGCTGTTGACAGTAAAATTGCCTCGAAGGATTTCAAAGTCTCAAGCACCACTGCAGACCTCAAGGGTTGTAGCGATTTTCTTCCCCCCCCCCCTTTGCTACCTGCACGCAGACAAAGCCTTAGAGAAGAAGCAGCTTGAAAAGTCCCTGAGCCTAATGGTCCCAACAAGCATTTGCTCTTATCTATCAAATGTGACGGGACCCGTGAGTCGGAGTAAGTTCTGTTTCTACATCTTCCATGAAAAATACATTCTGGAAGTGCAAATATGCTATTCTTCCATCACCAAGAAACATACCTGGAGTCTGTTGCTCCACAAAGAAGTGTGTAGGCCTGCCAATGTCATCTCTTAACGCATTTATGAAAACATCTGGGCACTGAAAACTTGCATCCAAGGCTTTTTATCCTATCTGGAACACATAGCGTACCTGCCACAAAGCTGTTAAGACAGCTCTGTTCTGATTCTAGTTGGTTAAGAAAAGTTAAAATTAATGAGAATGCTGATCATGGAAACACTTACCATACAAATGGTCTGTTTGCATGTTTGTTTCGGGTTTGTTTTTTTTTTTTTCTTAGAGAGCACGTTTAATGTGTGGTTTTTATGGATGGTGTGAAAATAGGATACATCTAGATGAGTCTCTCCTTTTGCTGTCTTGGACGATTTTTATTACATGTAATGATGAACTTTGGCGCACAAATTCCTTGGAGGACTTGGCAGTGGGAAAGGGACAGACTTATGTATGCCAAACAGACTTAATGTATTTTGCATTTTCTGCTAAAACGGACATCCCACTAACATTACAGTTACTTTCATGACTTAACTTTAGCTTTTTTTCAGGGAAGTAACTCTACAAAAAGACATCATAGTGTTCTGCATTCACTCAACCTTTTATTACTTTCAGATCAAATTTGTTCCATTTACTGATGCTGGCACTAGCTGCTCAATTTGTGATGTACCCAGCTTATTTAAAAAAAACAACAACAACAACAACAAAAAACCTCAGTTCTGTAGCAGAAATCCTTGAAATTGAGCTTTAGATGGCAGATTGAAATAAAACATGTTCTTCAAAATGAATGGATGGTTCTGTTTTTAAGACTAGATGACATGGCTTCTCCTTTATTGTAAGTTGTACCTATTAACATCTGCATTTTCGTGGAAGGAAATAATAGCTTTAGAATAAGTTAGAAGCAAATTAACAGAGGAAATCTTATTGACTAGTGATCTTTTTTTAAAAAAAAAAAAAAAAAGGTGGGGGGAGGAATTATTTCAATAACTTTGATTTATTTTTGAGTTATGAGTACCTTGAGTACCTTATCAGTATTCAGTACTGTTGTCAATGAATGTGTAAGTTACTTTTCCAGAAAATACATGACTAGGTTGCCCTTCAAGTTTTGTATAAGTTCCTGTTAACTTTGGTTGAAGGAATTGACTAAGAGGTGTGGATACTCTACTTGATACTTGTATGTGGAGGGAGGTGTGTAGTGTTGTAGTATGCAGCTAGTCAGTACTCCTTTTTTCTCTTTAATCCTCATGAACTGTTTCCAACATCAGCTTTGCAGACTTTCTCGGGTAATTTTTATTAATGAGTGCATTGCATGTGCAGGCAAAATGTTTCATCCTTGGATGGGTGACGAAAGCAATTTCTCTTTCCAAGTCAGGTCAGGTAGTGTGTTTCACTAATGGTGGAGATACCTTAGCATCAGCGCGTTCTGGATGGGGAGAAAATAACTAGCCTTAGAACAAGGTAAAACCGTGCTGACTTTTAAAGGCAATCTCATTATGCAGCGATAGTGTAACAGTGGCATTCATTTCTGTAACTAAGGTTTAAATTTCCAGTTTGCGCTGATCTTGGAGACCTTGAAATCCCATCTGATTGTTATTTGAGTCCATAACTGTTCAGAAACAGCTTTGTACTTGCTTTGTAATTGCTCTTTATCAGGCAAAAATTACTCTAATTTTGTAACTGCAGAGTTGGTTCTACACGCTGGCTTTAAGCTTCCAAATGATCGGCAAATCTGACATTTGACATAAAGTGCTTGACCTTTAATGGGTGAGAGGAAAAGCTAATAATTCCTAGTTTACAGCACTGATTTTAGTTTGCTATTTCTTCTCTCCACCTAACTTGCGTCTTTTAGAACTATTGTAAATTCTTTTCAAGTTGGAAAAAAAGTTTTTTTTTTTTTAAAGCAGACAAGCTTTGCCATATTTATACAATGTTTTGTATTGCAGGCAATCCTTTTTATCTTAGTGTAACTGGATAGTCCCTAAAAGGAAATGCAAGCCTCTGTTAAAATATGGGAACTTCTCTCAAAAATAATCCTGAGAGTTTGAACTGATGCTTTCCCTATTGCTGTTGTTCAAGGGGTACAAGCCTGTCTGCAAACCACAGTTCGAGAACAAGAAGAGAAGTATGAAATCCAAGGTGGCCCACAAAGAGGCCGGCTCAACAGGGAACAGCTGGTGAGTTTTATTGCTTGAGACAGATTGTCTTAATGACCTTTGGTTCATGTCTTTTTGCCCTGTGCCACATGTGCAGGTGCAATAGATGTAAAATTTTAGTGTGTTCCTGTACAGAAATTTGATTATGTGCAAGGTGATGGAAAGAACTGTGAGCATCCGTGAAGCAGTCATTTTTCTCTGTTAGGGGCTATGTTGCCTTAACCTTGTTAGGGGAAACACTGTTGCATTCATGGGGAAGCTCTGTGGCATGGGAAGTGATGCCTCCCTGGACTGCTCTGCTTTAGAACCTAGTTGAAATGACCTATAAGAAAAGGCAGATGTTTGTATTTCCTGTTTCATTATAGGACCGCTTTATATATTTAACTGGAAAATTCCTGAGTTACAGTGGAGAAGTTCATTAAATCTTTTGTAAGAGTAGCTAGGAATGTCATGGATCAAAACCCTGTTGTTCTGGAAAATAGATGAACATTAAGCTTTACTGTGTAAGCATGGCTTTGCTTGGCTGTGTACATATATTGAGGATCTTATTTGCTAAGTTACTGATCTAGCTTCTGGTTTTGATTTATTTTTTTGTATTTCTTGTAGATGATGGTTGTTTGTTTTTGGCGTTTTACCTGTGTGTGCAGTTGTGAACATCTGTGCTTACACTATTTTTTTTTCCCCCGTCCACTTAGCTGCCAAAGTTGTTTGATGGATGCTACTTCTATTTTTTGGGATCTTTCAACCGCCACCAGAAGAGTGATCTCGTGGAGCTGGTCAAAGCAGCAGGAGGACAAATTCTGGTTCGGCAGCCGAAACCTGACAGCGATGTGACGCAAACAATCAACACAGTGGCATACCATGCAGAACCTACTTCTGACCAGAGATTTTGCACACAGTATGTCATCTATGATGTGTCTTCTAAATTCAAACCAGAGAAAATTCGTCAGGGTAAGGTCTGGATGGCCCCCTCCAGCTGGCTTATAGACTGTATGATGTCATTTCAGCTGCTGCCAATAAAGTGAATATCCCTGTATCATGAGCAAGATTTTACAAGTGGTGAACCCTGAGCAGTTGGAAAACGCTGGCAAACACTGGTCTGTGTTGGGGGAAAGTGAAGCTATGATTCCTCTTTTGCACTTAGGAATACAGGAGAGCTTTGATTACTTCAAATGATTTATGAAGATTGCTGTGATATGTTGGAATAAGTGAACTTGCTGTGGAGAAGGGAGGTAAAGATACTGCATTGAAAAATGGGCCTTTAGTTATTTAGTAAGCTTTATTTTACATTTATCTTCAGTATAATGATCAGTGACATACTTTGCAACTAAGATTTTACAAGACACAGCCTCTTATAGCATTCTTGATTTTAAACCAGCCCTTCATATGCAGTAGAGCGTGACCACATTTCTTTTGCATCTAACCTCTGGCAAGGATCTACTGTGTGTATCAAGATCTCCCAGCCAGGGCGAAATTCATATTTAAAAACAAAAAGAAGACTTTATGCATTTTAATGTAGTCATTTGCCTATATAGACATATCTTCCGTTGGACAACACATTACGTTCTTTATAACTTGTTACAGCTGAGCATTGCAGGAAATTCCTGTCAAGGTGTCATAGGATAAGCTCTGTGGAAATTAAAGCAGAACTAGTGGGCTGAAGTCATATGACAGTAGACAGTTTTGAAACCTCTGTCTTTAAAAATCTTGATCTAAATTCAGTTATTTGTAGTAAGAGTAATGCTCTGTCCAGATCCATCTTCCTTCACACTTGTAAATGTATAATTTGTATTAGATTCTATTTTCTGGATGTTCTAAAGTATCAGATTCTCTGTAATAATCAGAAATATTACTGTAAGTAGAAGTGATTGATATCATGGTTACTTTATTGGGAAAAGAAATGTAATGACCACAGAAAATAACTATGCTTCACTTTTTGCACAGTTGTACTAGCTTATCTGGCTACACTGGAGTGATGTTTGATCCTTGCATATCTATAATCATTTTTTAATTCTTTCATAATTAATAAGTTACTGTTAGAATTTTGCTCTTTCTCTCTCTTTTTCGTAAGAACTCTGTGTTCTTACGTCATGTAACGGCCTTGTATCTCGTGTGTTGCCCTAGTTTTGTAACTCGTAACGTGAAGATGGGGTCTCATAATGATTATTACATAATGAGAATGATGGTTATGGGGTAAAACCAAGTTTCTGTGTTCATGTTTTTGTATGTAGTCTTGTAATAAAACCTCTGATGCCAGTCACTTTGGAGTACCTCATGGCTCGGGTTTAGCAGCAGAATAGTAGTCCATATGTACCTCAACAGGTAGATGAAAAGGTAAGTGCTTTTATGTGAATTTGATACAGATGCGAAGATAGCGTATCCCATCTGCTAGAGTAGCTCTTCAGTGTAAGAGACAGTTGTTTTCTGTAACTGTTGCCATTGAAGATCCTACACCAGTTTTGAGTATCCTTTGTACAACTCTCAAATATACTCTTCACGTGTAACAGGTATAGTTTTCAATAGCATCTGCTAGACTTTTGGTGCTGGAGTGTCTTTGATCTATCCCTTAGGCTAGACTGAGTCATTACTCTTCACTAAATGCAGTTCTCAAGTACTTGCTTGTCTGTGTGACCAAGCAAAAATGCAAGGCTCACTAATAAATGGAACAACCCATGGGATGGATGGGGTTTTTTGTTTTTTTTTTTTTTGGGAGGAAGGGTTTGGTGCAGATAAACACTAGCAGAAAATAAGCTATTGAGTCAGTGTGTGGACTTGGTCATTTATTTTGACAATCGTAGCTCATTTTAACTTGACATTTCATAGCGCATCAGTATACCTATTGCAGTATTCTTTACAAAAGTAGCAGTGAATCTCAGCAAGAGTTTTATGAATGCAGCTTTTCTGCTTTGTGCTGGAAATGAATTTGACCCTTCTGTAATCTTTGCCTATCCCCTGTAGAAGCTAGGGATATACACACTTCTGGGGCCGTTGTTCTTTCCTGGGAGCTGAAAACTGCATTAGCGTATGGCCGTTAATTTTTAAGCCACACGTTTAATTTGTCCTAAGGTCTTGTTTTTAATTTTGCTCGCATGTGCTTTGATTCCTCTGAATCAAGTCATATTTTTCAAGCCAAGTTACTATCAAATCACATTAAGAATCCCGTGGAACCATACTGGGGAGCAGTTCTTGTTATTTTAAGTGAAGTATATTCAAGATTGACTGTGGCTCATCTCGTTCAGGTCTCTTCAGGGATTCAGAATTTGAGTCCAACCCGCTTGCATAGACTTCTGAACTTATAAAGAGTGGAATAACTAGATTTTGTTGCCAGAATTGAAGCAGATGTAAAATCACTCCTGAAGCAGTAGGTAAGTGTAGAAAAACTAGAGTTCAATGACAAACCCTGCTTATTATTCACAACTGTTGCTGCTCATTATAAGCAGGGGCAGCACTGAATAAAATGTGTCTAGAAAGAGGCTTGTATTAAGGATAAATCAAGTTCCTTAGTCCAGTGGATGAGTTTTGACTCATAAAAAAGGCTATAAAACCATGAATCATGTGGAGATGGGTGCGTAGGGATCATTTTTTTACTGTCCCTTCTAGTTCAAGAACAAGGATGCATTAAAGGAAGCTAGTAGGAGGCAGGCACAAAATAGAAGAGTTATTTCATGCAATAGGGGTGGACTTGTGGAACTGATAGCCAAAGACTGTTCTGGGTGCTGTATGTTTTGGTATGGTCTGAAACGGGCCAGAGGAGTTCATTGAAGAACATCTGTTAAAGGTTACTTAAGAGACAAAACCCATGGCTAGCTCAGGAAACTCCTCCGAACTGAAAATAGTTGAAGGCTGGGGAAAGTGTCATTAATGAGCATCGATAAATGGGACATTTAAAGAGGTATGGGTCCAAGATTTGCCTTCTGGATTATGAAAACTTATTATTCTTGAAATCCCCCCCTTGAAAATGCTGTGGATGTCAGAAAGGCTAGTGACTTTCAGGCAACTTCCTTTGAAATTTATCTATGTATTTCGTGTAAGCTAGTTATCTGGGACACCTGCTAACACTTTCAGTAGCAATGTCTCAAGCTGAGTGACATCAGCTTGACATCACTTAATAGTAGATAATTACTTTTTTTAATCAATATTTTATAACCTTTTTGAGTGGCTGTGACCTCTAGTTTAAGGCAGATTGTTTGGCGGTTAACCAGTATTGGTGTGTGTTTTTGTTTTTTTTTTTTAAGGGGTGGCTGTGTATAAAAGTGAAATGTGAGAGTATGGAGGTTGCTTTCTAGCATCAGTGTTGTGGTAGATTCAAGGCAGTGTAGTTATAACTCGTACTTCTAGATGTTTCTGTCTTAAACTGCTCGTTTTCACAAATCTTACAGGCTCTTCTTGTCGCTGAAACGTCTTTCCACTCTTTCTGACGTAACTGAGATGAGATAATCTCTTTCTCTCTCTCGATAATTAGCTTTTCTAAGAAATATTTATATGGTGGGCACATCAGAGGAGGTGTAATGATGGTGGAGACACCTTGTGAAATAACTTTCTTAGAACTTTGTTCCTCCAGATGTAAAACGAAGTCTTTTCTGTGTTGCTGAGCCTCGAGGCTTCATGTGGTGTCTGAGATGCTCAGAAGTGAGCATCCTCTGAGAAAGAAGTGCGTGGCCCCTAAAAAGGACTTACCAGAGTAACGCAGGTGAGCTAGCTGTTGTGTTATTTTTGCAAGTGTTTCAGGGAAGCGGGTGATAGAAAACAGCAATAGCTCCTTTTGGTCTCAAAGCAGAATTAGCACATCTGGGAGGTGCTCGTCTATCTTATCTCATCCTTCTTTCTAATGAATAGCAAGCATGGAAAGGTCCAAAGACTTGCACCTCTCCCATAACAACGGTACTAGCAAGTGCTTAATCCAAAGCTTCTACACGGACTTTGTTATGCCTGACGTAAAGCCTCTCGTCCACTCTGCCACAAGAGCGAGCGGAGTTTTGACTCCACTGACTGAGGCATTGTCCAGTGTCCTAAGGCCAAATTTCATCTGGAAGGATCAGTTTGTTTTATGGCATAATTTTCCAGTAGATCAGCTCTTTTGGCTAATGAAAATATTGCAGATATCCTGCTCAGGACAAAGATGACGGTCTGGATGACACAGACCACTGTAAAACTGTGTTGGTGGGGATTATTTGGGGAAAACATACGGATGCCTGGGCTTTCTGTGCTGCTTCTGATTTTTGATTGCTCAGTTTTGCTGCGAGGGGGTATAGGGGAGGGGGAAAAACTTATTACTGCCAGCTCGGCAGAGCCATAGAGGTGTTGCACAGCAAACTTGCCTTCTGGCCTGTCTCCTGAACGGGCAGCACTGCCAGCAAAGTTTTATCCTGGGATCTTCGTTGCTCGGGACCGAGGTATGAAACACAGAACAAGGCTTCCCACCTCCCCCCTTAAGCTATTTTTGGTATACTTCAGTGCTGGGTAGTAACCTATTTTTGCTCTTGGAAGCAGGGTAAATTTGATGCCGGTTTAATGTCGTTAATCAATTTGGCCTCTGTGTCATTTTTCCGACTTTCTTCCGTACTTTCCACCAGGCTGCTTTTTCTTGCAAAGATTTGAATCTTCCTCTTTGATATCAAAGCAGACGCAGACCGCGCTGTCTTGCAAAAGGCAACCAAGCAGGCTTAAATATCAGTTTAAAAACTATAGAAAGATGTCTTTGGACGGCCAGATAGTATCAGTCAGGAAATGGAAAATCTCTCTTATGGAACAAATGAAGATTCAGCTGTTTTTAATAGTACAGCATGTTTTATCTTTTCAGACTTGTTTGGTTTAAATTAACAGTGGTGTAGCTAGTGCTAAATTACCCTTAAAAGCAGGAGAACGTTTTGTATGCAACCAGATGGGGAGAAGAGGAGGAAATTTCCCACTTTCCCTTTATTTCTAGGGAGAAGATGCATTTTTTTTTTTTCTTCTGTGCTTCAATCTAATTCCCGGCAGGAGGTCTAGTCTGATGAAGGAACAGAAATGTCGGCTCCTGCTGCATATGTGAGAGGCCGATGTCATTCACCGAACAGAGACGCTGAAGCAGCGGCAGGTAATGGGACGGCTGGTGCCCGTGGTTTTATTATGCGGCAGGGGTGGCGATGCCTTGCACCGGTGGGCGCGGGAGGTGTTGTGCACTGCAGCTCTGAGAAGTTAACCGTGCAGAGTCACTGATAGCTGCGTTACGGTATCTACTGCCCTGGACGTCAAGGCGTGTTTAAGAAGCAGCGGCACGGTTTCTTCCCTCCTGCGCGCAGTTGTAAAGCGGAGCAGCCCCTTCTCAGGCCCGACTTTATTTTGGTGCCGTTTCTATTCAGTTGCGCTGAACGCGCCGAGGAGCGGCGCTGTGCGATGGTGAGCGCCGCACAAACGAGTGCGGCGCTTCCCTTGACAAGCCCGTGCTCTGACCGCGCGTACAGTGGGAAGGGGGTTCCAACCGTAAGGCAAGAGGGATACGAAATGGCAGCCAAGCTGGCAGTCGTCTTCAGCTTGCTAGACTGGTAAAAGCTTAATTATTTCTTGAGCCAAGTGGGCTAGGTTTGTTTCCTGCTAGCTTAGCAAGCTGAACTAATTCTCTGAAGCATCAGGTAAGTACTTGGGGAGGGGGAGCAGATGGGAGACCACCGCTTTGGTCAGCGGTCAGCTGTGGCTCAATTGTGATGTGAAGGTGAGGCTTTCTGATTGCCCTGGGCACTACTCTGCTTTCCCTTAGAGAGCCCTGGTGTCTGTGCGGGGTTTGCCCTGGGTTACTGGTGTCAGCCTGATGAGGGAAACGCTTCTCTCTTGCTCTTCTGGAAGGACAAAGTTGGAGCAGCTGGTGTCAAATGAAACCCAGAGCAGCTAAGGCCTTGCATATATAGCGCTAGTCCAGCTGGAGATCGTGGTCTGTAGCAAAATTTAACTTTTTTTCTGCAGCATAAAAGATCTGCAAGAACATTAAAAAAGAAAGCAAACTGGGAGCCTTTTAATTGAATTAAATATTGATATGGATAATACGATCAATAGCGTATTGATTGCGTTAGCCGCAATAATGTTTAATTCAATAAGTCTGCGGTGCTGAATCTTTTTCTTCCCCTGTTTTTTTTTCTTTTACCCTGTGCAGCAATGTAATGCCAATATGCTCGGCCTTGCTGTGTCCCCGTGCTTATTCTAGGACAGCTAAGAGCATGATAGGACCGGGAGAGGGCGAAGGAGCCAGGCTGTGCTCCACGTTGAAATCCGTCGTGGGCCGTCACGTTGACTGTATAAGGCCAGAGTCGCCCACATGGCTGATGCAACCTGACTTCAAAACAGCTGCCCTTAGGGACAGCTGCCCTTAGTTTTTGAAGACTCTGCTGTGGCCCTCACACAAGCAATGTTGATTGTTAATGTAAATATTGCCCATGACCCCTACGTGCTTAGCTTCTGGAGCCTGATACAATGCTTCATTCC